ACAAAAAAAATAAAAATGGAAACTTCTAGGAGCATGGCAGTTAAAAAAAAAGATGACTTTTCATCACAGATGTGAGAAGATAAAGTATAAATTAGTTTCAAATAACAATTGCCTTCCTGCATTAAATTTCCTAATGTCTCTTATACTGTCCCTGAAAGTCAATTGCTTCCTTACAGATGTCTTCAAATAAAATCTCACGATAGTAAATTTCATTTCACCCTAATGACACATGAAGGAAAAGAAAAGTCATATAATGAGGTTCTGCCTCAGCGTCTGCAGGCTATAAGGATCCGGATGGGGAAGAATGGGTTCAGACTCATAAAATTGAGTGGCTGTGGATTCTGGGACTACCTGGATCCAGAAATTTTCCATATTTCATTCTGGGTGGGGTTGCACTACCCCAAGTATACTTGTTACAGAATGTGGGGGTCCCCTTAGACTCACAGCTCCCCCTTGAGGAGCAGTGGCAGCTAGGGCTTGCAGGGCCCTTGCACAGCTCCATCTTCCACCTGCTTCTAGACTTCTAGAAGTCCAACTCACAGGCACTCATGCCTTAATCACTTGTGATAAGGGTAGCTGTGGACATACAGTTACAAGTGTTACTGATACCAGTACCCAGTATGCTTCTGAGTACAACTTGAGGTGCTGATTCTTATCAATAAAGCCATTCAGGATGCTGAGATTCAGCTGGCCATGATCTGCCTATGTTTCAAAAACATAAAAGACCCTTTTTCCCTTCAGGCACTGGATCTGGGAACAACATGACCTACTGGATGAGTTTTCTTGGCACTTGACGTGTTCATGTGTTTCTGTTTGGGGTTATTTTTTTTACAGTTTGTTTTATTGTGTTGTTTTTATTGGCTCATTATTGTTTATTAATGATGTTCTCCATCCTGAGTTACGTGTCAGTTGGGCAGCTATACAAATCAGATGAATAAAGATAACAATGTTTTGAAACTAATGACAAAATAGGAATTTGTGAGAAGATGTTGTGGAAAATGAATATTGTAGCTAGACTTGTGGACATAAACATGTGAGGAGATTTTTTTGAGAAGTGGTCCAGACCACCAACCAAGAGACTCAGATTGTGACCTTCCAATTCCAACATTCTCTTTTTTCTTAATAATATCCACAGCCGTCAGCTACTGTTCTGAACTGCTACTGAAGCTTTAGCTTTGCAGTTTCTTAGTGCTGGGGAAGGAAGGTGCTGTAGGCTCTTAGCATCTCTACTGGGGCAGTGAGGCTGCTGAGCTCTGTTTCCCCTTTCAGCGTGTTTGCTGTCAGCTTGCTGAAGTCCAAGCCTGCTCCTCCTTTACCATCGGTCACTTCCTAAGCTGACAGCTGCTCTCCACTCTTGGCTGCAAATTCTTCCTCTCTGCTCTACAACACACTTACATCCCCACACGCTGGTGCTCTCAGCATTTTCCTGTTGTGACTGTAAACCAGATGTGGGCCAGTGTTCTTCAGGCTATCTGAAAGTCTCAGGGGAGAAAACAAACGAAAGGAAGAGCTCACACTGGCCACTGCATGGCTTTTCTTCCACAAAACATCAGCTATTTTACTTTTGGAGATGCTAGGGGCATAGTCACTCTGTTTCCTAAAACTTACTCACTGTGGACATGCCATTCATTTTGTAACAATGTGTCATGTCCTGCCTCCTCATAGAGTACTTAGGTGAAGGGACCCTTTTTGTGAAGAAAGTGTACAAGATGCTGGAATTGCTCTTTGAGCAGAAAAGGCAGAGTAATAGTTGTCCATGGGGGAGGCTTTAAACAACCAGACATATGTTTAATGCATTATATGTTGCCCAGAATCATGTTGATGACTGAGACAACTTATACATTGAATAAATAAATGAAAAAAATACATACAGTAAATGTTCTGCTAAAGGGAGAAGGTTTATCAGCTCCCTGTCCCCTCTCCCCACTATACACTGCTCCCTTCCGTGACTCCCTGCTGTAGCAGCGCTATCACACATCTTCTGATTAGTAAGTGCCAGCCAGTTGGTCACCCTCTACAGGTGAGACAGTGTCCAGCATGATATCTTGAGAGCAGGACACATAGGGTGATTGGTCATTTAGACCACAGGCAATAGTGCTATCAGAAATGAGGAAAAGGTGCCTGGGAAGGGGGAGGACAGCAATATACAGCCCAGGAACAGACAAGGCCAACCAAGTGCTAACCTTGTGAAACAAAAGCTGATGATGAAAGATTAGAAATAATCTGGACAAGTCTACTCAAAGGAGCTGAATGCCCTTTATGAGATCCATTTATCTTATGAAGTTGCTTCTATTTCTTCTCTCTAATGAACCTATCCCATCTCCTGAGACATACAAGACTTAAGACACACTAGTTTACTTAACAATATGCAGCTTATGATTTCAATAATCAAGGGATCCTTCATTTTTTACTAGGGCTGCTCCACCATAGATAAGCAAGTATTGAAAATGCAGAATGGATTTATGAATAAACACATATGAAACTGAGATGGATCTAAAATCATTTGATCCATCCTTCTCTAGCTGTTAAACATTTTCCTGGTAAACTACTGTATACATGCTTGAAAGATACAAACCTTTCAGGGAAATAAGAAGCAACACACTAAATTACAAGGCAGAATATAATTAGCTTTTTTCCATTATTTATTTTTAAAATCATCCTTATTCTTTTTGATCCTTAGGCGGACTATTATCCATACAAGAATGAACAGTAATGAATAACCATTGTATTAAACCCTGTATGGTTGGAGAAAATGTGAGTTATCAGTGTAATAAAATAAATACTTGAATAAAACTGGCTTCTCTTAAAATGCATCCCAAGTAGCAATGATATTCATTAGTATTAAATATTATTTTATTAATTTAGGCAACCTTGAAAATTAGGGACAAGGAAAAATGATTTAATTATATGAGTCATTCAGTCTCAAAAGTACCAAGTCAGATGGTACTTTTGGAAGAGTTATATGATGAAAATATTCAGGTCTTGGTAGATAAGAGAAATTACTATGCTGCTTATAAGTCTCTCATTAAATAGTCAAGAAAAACGATTAATTTTAATTGCCAATCAAAACAGTGCACAAAAGCAGCAAGCCATCAAAAATAATGATTAGTCTCCCAGTTTTAATTTTTGTGTACACTTAGAATTAGTGAGTGTTTTATTACCAAGTATTACTGTCATCAATATTTATTTTGATGTATATCACATACTGTCTATTTCTATCCAGGACAAAAAGTGGATGTGGGGCACAGCAATATTGAATTTTCTGCTGCAACCTTATTCTTATTTTGATATTACGTGAGGGCTCCTGGTTAGTTTTTGACAGAACATTAATTCAATTGAAATACAATGTATGATTGTTAAAAAAAATGTCTGAAAATGTCTCTAAGCTTGTATGTGATTAAATAGTGCCAGAAGCAGGGAAGATTTTCTTGAAGTTAAAAGGTACAATAAATCTCCTATTATACTTCCAATTAACTAAATTGCTAGCCTTATTGTGAAAAGTAGAAAAATGCAATTGAGTTGCTGCTTGAGGCATGCTAAAAGGGTGGGAATGGCAATAATGTAATTAACTGACTTCAAGTACATTAAGAAGCATAGTTTCCCCTTAGTGCCTTTAAATATATCATTGAGTAATGTGGAATTGTGTTTCAGAAGAGAAATAAACCACTGTTTCCAACTGCTGGATTGTCCAGCATGACCTTTAGTCCAATTTGACCAAGAAGATTTAGAAAAGTTAACAGAGGTCAGTAGGGGAACTTTATGGTGTACAGCAGCCTGTACAAGTTCCCTCTTTTCAAATCTGTAAAGCAGCTGCATTCTACAGCTGACATTATCAAAAAGTACATAAGTTGTTTTAATAGATCAGTTTGAGGCAAAATAAATAGCAGAAGGAAAGGGCTGAATCTGGATCAAAACTGCAACAGGAAACAAAGTATTACATCTGGTTGTCACCATACTAAAATCTGAGTCAGGACTGGATCTCCTGCACAGCCTTATAGCAGGGTCCATTTGCACATTCTAAACAAAGAGAAAGTGTGGTGGTATTATCACACAGTGGCTGGTAGGGGAGACATGCCTGTTCACAAAATGACTATTCTGGAGGGTATATAACACCCATCAGTGAAGCAAACTGTTGAGAATAAAGAACAAGTAACTTGTCCAAGAACTTGGATACTCATCCCAAATAGTATCTGAGCATTAAAATATACAAACACACACATACTGCACTTGTATTTTTCTGTTCCAAACGAATATCTATTTTAGAGAACATAAAACATTTATTTTGTGGAAGATGTTCTGAGTCACCAGTGCTCTTGTTCTTCTTATCATATGAAAAACCTATTCCCAAAGAGAATATGGATTGCGAGCATTTCACAAGATAATCTTACCTGTCCTAATAAAATATACTGATCTATTCCCATACAGGTTTTTATAGTTATTTATCTTCATGGCAAAGGCTGGTCTGAATTTTTCCCTGGTTTGATGAGTCTGGTTCTGGCAAATTCACTGCTTTTTCCAGCGTGCCCCCAACCATGTCTTTTTTCCCCCTCCTCTTCCCAATACTGCATTTTCAGTGTTGGGAAAACCAGGGAGTTAATGGTTGTTGCAGTATTTCTGTTTCCAAGGTTGGAACTCCCTTTCCAGTCTTGGAAGGGGACTCTGATTTATCCTAGCCTTAGAGTGTGTTTTAGAGTATATAAGGTAGCAAAAATTCTGAGGAAATTTTATTTCATCCTGTAACCATAAATATGCATAAGAATGATATATATCTTTTCACAGTATAACACTAAATTATGAAAATATAAAAGCTGCCACATTTAAAACTGAGGAATGATTAAAAGATCAAAGTTCCCTACAAAAACTAATGTTTACTATCGAGAATGTATTTCCCCGAGGGAGAATATACAGTATATGTTCAAAGAATGTGTGAATCCTGGGAGACTGTAATGTCAGATTTCCATTTCTCCAATGTGTAGTCATGATTACAGCTGAAGACTTACATTGATATCTTCCAAATCCAAGAAGTTCAACACGATGCCATTGCGCTTCCAGATGATTGGAGGTCTCAGAGGTCCATGTATAGCACAAGTCAATACAGTGCTTAGCCCAACAGTGACTGTGGTAATGCTGACATTCTGCTCTTCAGGGAGTATGAGTTGAACCACCTCTGTGAAAAGAATAACAAAAAGCAGTGTATTCATATTATTATCTACTAAATTAAAATGGCCTTTTCACTGCTTGATTAAGGAGCTTTCAGCAGTAACTAAAATGGAGCCAGCCCCGAAGGTAAACCTAGAACAACAGGAAATAGGACATACCTCAAAACCCCTATATTATAATTTATTTCTTTATTTCAGACTCCTTGCCTATCAGACAATCTTCCAGGTTGTTAGAAGTAAGATAATGTCCTTCAGTCTTACCAGCCTGCAGAAATCAAATTCATATTTAAGAGATTAGAATATATTTTTCTTTCTCAGTGCTGAGGACTCTAACAGGCACACCTGTTTGGACTAATTGTTTCTCTGGTAGGAATGTGAAAACTTCACCTATTTATTTATTTGTTTGTTTGTTTGTTTGTTTGATAATTAGGGCCACCCAACTGAAGCAGTGTGACTCTGGGCAATGAACAGCAAAAACCCACAATAAAGCAAAAACAAAAAACAAAAAAACCCCACATAACATTAAAAACATACCCAATATGTAAAATATAAGATGGGCAACCAAACACAATAATAAAACCACCCAAAGAGGATCTGACTTAACTGGACTCAAACACTTGGGGAAAAAGTCATACATGGTCAGAACAACAAAGAAAATCGTTATTTTTCCTGATAATCAGAAAAAAAAAAATACAGGATCTGACTTAACTGGACTCAAACACTTGGGGAAAAAGTCATACATGGTCAGAACAACAAAGAAAATCGTTATTTTTCCTGATAATCAGAAAAAAAAAAATACTGTACATATTCGTGGATAAACTGAGAATTCTAGGTCCCAAATTACACCCCCAAAATCGGGTTCAGCTTATCGACGGATGGGCTTATCTGCAAGTATATACAGTACCCGTATTTCCCATATATACTTGTAGATAAGCCCATCTGTGGATAAGCAACCCTTAAAATTTTAACTAAAATACCATGAAAAAAGGAGCTCAGCTTATCTGCAGGTGGCATATCTTTCATGATATTTTGGTTAACAATTCGAGGGTCAGCTTATCCACAAATGGGCTTATCCCCAAGTATATGTAGTAGTTTTATTAGGATAGACAATCCTAATAAATCCTGCCTACTGAGTAAACAGTCATCCAAATGTCCTCTTACATCAGAAAACCAGGATGATAAGCTAACCCATTCTAAACTGCTTTGTATGAACTGGTTTTAGGCACAAGAGTATTTTTTCCTTTTCTACTTTGCACTGCATTCTGATTAATACCTGCAGAGAGATAATAAAATAGCCTAGAATCATGATGTCTGTACATTTTACTCCCTCAAAACCCTACAATAATAGCATTATTATTTGCATAGGCAACTTTGCCAATCAGCACTTTGCACAGACAGGTAAGATACTTGATGGTGGAATTAGTGTCAATGGAAAAGTGTTGTTGTTAAGCATTTTAACTAGAAATAATGAGAACTGGTGAACCAATAAAGCAACATTGTCAAAAGTGAAACATTTGCCACTCTATCATTCCCTAGACATCTCTTCTTGACTCTGGACAATATAACAGTTAAATGCTCCAAGTGGAGCTTTCACATTAATAGCCCATTCAGATGATTTTTTTTTTAAAGGGAATGATAGTTCATATCACATCTCCTTTGGTGCAACATTGATCCAGTCTGTGGCTGGCAGACAAACAAAATAGCAAATACATGGACTTCAGGAGAAATATGACATCTCTGGAAATCATGTATATCACAGCTAACAGTTTAGGCTGCAAATTTCCAAATGTCCACTAGAGGGCACCAGGAGATTCAGAAAATTCTGAACAGATGACTCCATCTAGAGGTGACCTGGAATTTTGCAGCATAGATATGGTAGCCCTAATCACATTAATTTGATCAAATAAAACAGGTTTTAAAACCCCTTAAAGGCCATCAAATTTCTACAGAAATAAAGGAAGGAGGGGAATTGATTCAAAAGTAGCAGAAGAAGATAGAAAGAATGATGGAGGAGGGCTAGTTGGGAGGAAAATAATGAACAATATTCATTACTTTGTTAGAGAATAATTATGCCAAGACCTCAGCTGAAAATAAGGAGCAGAGAGATATTGCTAACTGAAAAGCAACTGCCACATGATAGAAAAGAAGAAAGACATTGAAAATTATCATTCCTGAAATAAGATCCTGGCTGGAATTTACAGAGGCTTTATCATGATTAAGAGTAATCAGAGCTGGGTTCAAGCAATAGCCTTAGAAATTCACATTCTTCCAGAGGCACTGTTTTTACCACTTGAAAGAATAGGTCTTTCTGACAACAGTGGCAATGCTTTGAGAGCCAGTGTGGTGTAGGGGTGAGACCATGAGTTCTAGTCCTGCCTTAAGCACAAAACCAGCTGGGTGACCTTGGGCCAGTCACTCTCTCTCAGCCCTAGGAAGGAGGCAATGGCAAACCAGTTCTGAAATCTTGCCAAAAAAACTTCTGGGACTTGTCTAGGCAGTTGTCAGGAATCAGGACTGACTTGAAGGCATGCACCCACACTTACACACAAAAATGCATGAAAGCAAAACTGTTGATGTGGCTCAAATAAACAAGCAACACAGACCTTTAAGTTGGCAGCTGGCTGGAGAACCATTAAACACAATGCCCACCTATTCTGTAACACACAAAGCATGAGGTTCAGACCTCCTTGGAAAGTAACTGTGAGCAGATACCTAATTCCTTTTTATAAGTGTCAGGGCTAATTAACCTTTAAGAGATACAAACTGAAACAATGGCTAATCCAGTCATCTACTCTTTGCTGCTTCAGTTCCTTTCCTCTTTATTGATGAGCAGAGAAATTAAGAATCTACCCTGAAATACTGATTAGTGAATCTGACACGGCCTGGGCTTACTTGAGTAGCAAAACACTTTATCAATGCTGTAGTTGGTATAAGGAAAAGATTGTTGACATTTGCTCTTCAGAATGGCAGTGGCCTGATCAGACTCTCCAAGGATAGAAATTCCTTTTTTCCTTTTTCCAAATCAAGCAGCGAAGTGCTCCTCAGTATGAATGTTCAGTTCCAGATAAATGGTATCAGATTTTAGCAGGCATTACAAGCACATAATATATACTTAAGATGCCTGTCAGATGGGGCATTTTACCAAAAAAGGAGGGGTGATTTTTTGAAGCACACACACACAAACCAGATTTTAAAGCATTCACTCCTGCATCCATGCTAAAAAAAAGTTAAGCTAAGCATACTAGCATTTCATTTTTTTTCAATGAGCTGTTATTGATGTCTTCCTTCAGTTACCAGTTGTGTTTCGAAGGCTTTCTAAATACAGATGTAGTAATTAGGAAATTGTTCCTGTGATTTTACTAAATTAATAGAAAGGGTGCCATCTTTGGTTTTAGAGCAACCTTGATTAGCCTTTTCTCAAAAAACTATACATGTATTCTGAGATAGGCATCTTTATTAACCTCATGCTTGGATAATTTTACCTCAGATAAAATTACCAAATGTTTGGAGATGCCAGCCTTGCTCAATGTTTCCCAACATGTCTCCACAAAGGCAAAGTCCTGCCTAACTAATCTACTTGTTTTCTGAGGGTATTAATAAACACGTGGGTAAGGGCAAGCCGGCAGATGTCACATATTAGTTTTTCAAAAAGCTTTTGACAAAGTCTCTCATCAAAGACTTCTCAGTGAGTTTAATAGCTATGGAATAAAAAGACAGGCCCAGTTGTGGATAAGTAACTGGCTAAAGAATAGAAAACAAAGAATAGGAATAAATGGATATTTCTCACAATGGAGGAATGTAACTGGGGGGGGGGGGCCCCCCT